TTTCAGCTTATTAGATTCATCCCAATGCTCTTCCTGAATTCTGACTCTGATCCATTCTTAATTATCCCTCTCAGCTTGGTGTCATTGACAAATTTGATGAGTATACTGTATGTCTTTATCCAGGTCACTGACAAAAATATTGACTAGTAGAGGACCAAGTACAGAAGTTTAGGATACTCCACTGGAGATCTGATGCCACTGACATGGAACTTTTCACAACTACTCTGGGTCAGGCCATTCAATAAGTTTTGAAGCCATGTGAATATTTCTTTGTGTAATTGTTGTCTAGTATTGTCTTTTTGTTTCTTCATTTTCTCTAGTCTGGGATGCTTTACAAGTGCATTGATAAAGTCTGGGTATGTTTTGTCAATGTTATTTGCTTCATCTTCTGTTTTAGTAATCCTGTCAAAAAGGAAATAAGGCTAGTCTGGAATGAATTGTTCTGAAGGCATGATGACTCTTTGTAATTGCTCCTCTTCTCTTGATATTCACCAATCATCTCTTGAATGATTCATTCTAGAATTTTCCTAGGAATTGAAATTAAGCTCACTGGGTTATAATTTGCAGGCCTTGTTCTCTTCCCATTTTTGAAAATTTGGGGAAACATTGGGATTTCTCCAATATTGTAGTAACTTTCCCATTTTCCAAGAACTTTCAGATATCATTGACAGTGCCTTAGCAGTCATATTTGTTGGTTCTTTCAGGATTTAAGTTTTGTAGGAAAGGCCCTGCTTAGGTTGGTTCCTTGATAGTTTGTTTGATATTGGAATAAGGTAAAATACAGAAGATTTGGCAGTTAAAGAAGTGAGATTTACTTAGCCATAATATGTGAAAGATGTCTTTCAAGCAGAGCATTCTTGCCCTCTGTGTTGCCCGTCCTAGACCACCTTTCAAGCATCAAAGAGGAAATGGAGCTTCATTAGGTCTTTGTACTCAGGAAACTAGGAAGCAACATGGACCAAATCATGAACCTATTAAACATCAAGGGTAGTTTTAATAGCTTTCAAGGAGAAGAATGAACCTACCTCACATTTTAGGGAACTCAGGTAGATATTTCTCCTATATTACTGAACTATAGCTCACCCCAGACAGGAAACATGAGTTCTTCAGAGGCATCAAGGTGCTATCTCACTATCTCCTTACTTATCTCGGATATCAACTCCCCATTAAACATTTTTGTTTTCTGATTGCCAACGTGAAGGTAATTTGTCTTTTGTAGAGAAAGCCGAAACAAAATACTAACTGAACATCTCTGCTCTCTATTTGTTGTCATTTATCATAATTCCATCCACTCCAAGCAAGGTCCTTTGTTTTCTTTGATTCTTCTTTTTCTTCCCATTTAACTTTAAATAATGTATGAGTTGACATGAATCTCTCTCTTCAGTTCCATCTCATTTTGATCTTTATTATTTCTTTTGCTCTTTTTATAGTATCATGCCATATTCTTATGTGTTTACCTCTGTTGCCTGGTCTTGTTTCTGTTTTTTGCACATTTGTTCATTCATTTATCTTCTTATTGATTGATTGATTGATTCATCCATCCATCTATCCATCCATTCATTTTTTAAAAAAATCTAAATTGATTGTTGAGTTCCTTGTGCATCCATATGTCTCTTTGGACAAATTCCACTTTTCCTTTCTGGTGGAATTGTTTCCCATCGTGTCTTCAGAATTTCATTCTTGAGTATCTCCCTTTCTTTTTGGGGCAGCTTCGCTTGAAGCACTTCCTACTTCCTGAGATCTTAGCTATATTTCCTTTGAATCTTTCACAGCCTGCTCTCCTAAAATTTAATTTGCATGTCAGACTCTACCCAGATGTCTTCTCCTTTTGTATCACAAATTTTAGGGTGGAGTGATCACTTTCCCTCAAGATTCCCATTACTTCTACCATATCATACTACTAAAAAGGCTTGTGATGTTTTCCCCAAACTCCTCATTTAATTCCTACTTTTGTCCATGTGGTTCATAGTATACTTCATTGACAAAATTACTTCTGTTTGACCTTCCCCTAAATATTCTCCATTGTGATCTTTGCTCTGGTTCTTGAATTTCCTCATATGTGTATACTTTCTTAGTATGTAATGATATCTCATCCCTACCACCTCTTACCTATCCTTTTTTGTTTTGAATTAGATATATCCATTCAGAATCATAGTCTAGTCATAGGCTTCACCTCACTAAGTTTTAACTGTGTCTAGGAGGTCAAATATGGTTCCTTGAGTGAGGACTTCTAGTTTCTCCTATCTATTCCCTAAACTTTGTGTGATTGTGTATAGATAGACATTTGAAGTCATGGCTTTTTACAACTTTCTTGGATTTGTCTCCTGTGAATTTCTGAGTATGTCAATTGCTATTCTTCCTTCTTTGTAGATATATAGTATTTAACTTTGGGGGTATACATAGACAGTCTTTTTCCTACTCATTGTCCCATTCAAGACACCAATAAAATGCATTCTTACCAGCTCTGCCAGAAGTTAGGTGTATTCCATCCCTGTCAGGAATCTCTCAATCTTATATTGTAAGCTGTGATCCAGAAACCCAAAACCTTTTCTCAGATACCAATTTTTGTCACCTGTTTACTTCCTTAATTATTTTTTCTCTTCTGCATCCCTTGCCTTCAATGGGTAACAGTGAAGAAAACATCTTGTACCCCTTTGTTCAGCTTCCTGCCCAAGTCTCCATAATTATTGGCAATACTTTCAAATTTCCTTCTGGTAGTTTCATTTGTGCCCATGTGAATCACCAGACATACATAGTTGTCATCCATTTTAATAAGTTTGGGATGGGGGAGGGAGGTTCTTTGTTGTATCTTGGATACATGCCCCAGGAAGAAAACAGACCTCTTTATTTTTGTTATTAAATTGACAAATAACTACCTCTGTCCCTGAGCAGGGAATCATCAACCTCTATGCTTTGTTTCTTTTTTTACTTCTTACCGTATAATCTCTTGCCTGATGGTTTTTGTGACTCTGCTACATTCTCTGCAGGATGAGGAGAGCATCTAGTTCATCTCTCTTTAGGAAGAGCTCAAATCTGTCTTTAAGTTCTCATTTTAAGCTGTATTTGAGATGGGATTTAAACCAAGCTCTCACTGATTCCAAGTCCAATGTCCTATCCACAGACCACACTGCTTTTTCTCTTGAATGCACTTGAGCTATATTATTTCCTCTTCCATCCTCTTGGGCTTACTCAGAGCAGCAGATTAAGAATCGAGGGATGACAGCTGTAGCCTAGAGACCAGCAGGGAAGACATTCTTGTATGAGCGTACATTGCTGTGTAAACAACATAGTACTACCTACTACACGTTTGCTGAAATGAATATTTGTATACATAGATTTCATAGATTTCAAAGGACAAAAAGATTATTGAGGGGATGGAAGTAGAGGAATGATCTGGAAGCAGTAATGCTAGAAACAAGGCATAGGTCAACCCTGCTTCTTGGCCTTAAGAATCTTGGGTATGGTAAAGAAGGAGTAGCTGGACTGTGGCACCCTTAGGTCAAATTAAATCTCTAGTAGAATAAAAGTTCCTTACTGCCTTACTTTTGTGTATGTGTATATGTACCTATGCACGTGTGTGTATGTAGTGTATATGAATGTGTATGTGTACATACATACATACATGCACACATTCATACATACATATATACATACATACATATCCATCCCCAAAGCCTGGCACAGAACTTGGTGCTGTAAGATACCTAATAAATGTTAATTAATTGGTTTGGATAAATGAAGGAAAAGGTATTTATTAAAGATTAAGTGTCAAACATTGTGCTAAGTGTCGGGGATATATAAATAAAAAAACCAGGGCAATCCCTCAAGGAGCCTATATTCTAATGGGGCGGGGGGAGACACCATATATTGGGGGATGTAAAGGCAGTGAGGTGGTGCAGAGGATAGAGTACTGGACCTGGAGACAGGAAGGACCTGAGTTCAAATCTAGCCTTAGAGACTTACTAACACAAGTGACCCTGTGCAAGTCACTTAACCTCTCAGCCTCAGTTTCCTCATCTGTAAACTGGGGATAATAGTAAGACCTATATCTCAAGAGTTGTTTTGAGGCATCAAATAAGATAATATTTGTAAAACACTTAACACAATGCCTGGCCCATAGTAGGCATTTAACAAATGTTTATTCTCTTTTCTTCCCTTCCCCACGTTGACAACGGAGTAGTATTTTATTTAGGGGTCACAGGCATGGTGCAATACGGCATTCCTTTGAAATGCCAAATGCTCTTTCTAGAGACTTTGGTCATGTTGAAATGACTGCAGTTCTCAGAGGCTGAAGGGGAATGGAGGGAGAAAAGAGAGGAAATGCTTTGGTCAGCAGCACACATGGTCCCTGGGAGTTTAAAGCTGAATGGTTTAGCTGGGTTAGCCCCTCTCAGGCATGGCCTCTGGGGGTCTGATTTACAGTGAGGCGTAGTAGCAGAAACAAGGCAGAAAATATCCAGGGTAAAGATGAAGACGTGGGTTTGGTATTTCATTTAACCCTAGGAAGTGAGAGTAGTATTGTTTGAAGAGTTTAAGGATATAGGAAAGGTTTTTTTCTTTTTTTGTTTGTTTTATTTTAATTAGAATAGGATTTGGACTACAAAAGAGCACGATGTAATGAGCTAATAAAAGAGCAGAGTTATCTTAGGCCTCCTAGTTAACTCCCTCAGGTTGGTGATGTCTCAACATTTTGTTCCTAAATAGTATTTGTATCATATTTGACCAAGAAAAGAAGAAATCATCTAATTGGAAGATTTCTCTAATCATATGTTTTGCGTGATTGAACGTGTACAACCTATATCAAATTTCTTACTGTCTCAGGGAAGGGAGAAGTTAGAGAGGGAGAGAGAAAATTTGGAACTCAAATTAAAAAAAAATGAATGTTAAAAATTATCTTTGCATATAACCGAGGACAAATAAAATATTAAAGGTCACAAACAAAAAAACTTTGAAAAAAGAATTATCTAATTGATTTTTTTTTTCTTTGAAACTGTGTTCAGCTTACAGAAGAGATTGGAAAACTGGAAGATAAGGTGGAATGTGCTAATAATGCTCTGAAAGCTGACTGGGACAGATGGAAACAAAACATGCAAAATGATATCAAGTTGGCATTTGCAGATATGGCTGAGAAAAACATCAGCTACTACGAACAGGTAGTTGTCATGAACACTTACCTCATTTTTCTCACACAAACACATCAGCATTATTCTGTGTCACCCGCTTTCCATCTCTAAAATTTATGTATCACAAAAAGTAGCTTATGAAGCACAGAAGTTACAGTGAATTTGGTTAGTGCTTTAAATTCCGCTTGAGTGCATGGGCAGAGTTAGAGAAGAGTGGCGTGTCATTGGGGTTATCTAATCCTACCCCTTTGTTTTACTAGAAGGAAATTGAGCCTCATGAAAGGACAGAGAGGAAAATGATAGAGCCGGAATTCAAACTGCCTTGTTCCCTATCATACAGATCTGTACATTTAGATGGTGCCTTAGATAGAGAGCTGGGCCTGGAGTCAAGAAAACCTGAGTTCAAATCCAACCTCAGATATTTATTAGCTGGCCAACTCACTTAACCGGTGCTTCAGTTTCTTTACCTGTAAAATGGGGTTTGCCTCATTTTCCTCGGCTATAAAATGGGGGATAATAATAGCACCTTCCACTCAGGGTTATTGTGAAGGTCAAATGGATAATAATTGTAAAGCACTTAGCACAATGCCTGTAACATACTAGGTGCTCTGTAAATGTTGGCCATCATCATCATCATCATCATCATCATCATCACTGTTGTTGTTACTGTTGTCTGTCTGCAGAATCACCGAATTTTAGATTTGGAGAACACTTTTTTATTCATCTCATATAACCATCTTTATTGTAAGTGGAGAAAATTGAGGTACATAGAGGCAACATAACTTACACAAGTTCTCACAGCTAATTAATAGCAGAGGTAGAATTAAAACTCAGGTATTATTCTGAGTTCCTGGGAATTGAAAAACAAACCACTTTTCTCTCCTCACAGAAGGGTGTAGGGGACTACAGAGGCAGACTGCGGTAAAGTTAAGGTGACTTTTACTTATTTATTGATGTTTTAAGACAGAGTTCTTTGGAGAGTGGAAACTTAAAGGTAAGTAATAGTAGTATAAAAACTAAAGATGTAATAAAACATAAATAAAACCAAGCTCTCTCAGTTCTCAGTTCATTGAAATGTGAGTTCCTTGAGAGCTTATCCCCATTACTAGCACAGTGCCATTACTAGCACAATTAATAAATGTTTATTGACTGACTTTCTTCTATACCATGGTATACGTTGTAGAGAGAGAGAGAGAGAGAGAGAGAGAGAGATTGTTTCATTGATTTCCTTTGTTAGCCTATGTATTTATGTACGTATATACGTATGTATGTATTTTTGCTTTTAAACACATAGTTCTTTGAATGGATACGTAGGCTTTGCCAGATTGCCAAAGAGTTCCATTACACCTACAAAAGTTTAAGAACTCCTGTACTTTTCTCAAATTTGCAGCTCAGAAACTAGGCGTAGCCAAAACATACAAAGGAAATTGTCTTAGTAGCCAAAATTTAAGAATTAGACAGATTTCAGGGCTTGAGGTGAGAAAAATTGGGAAAAGGAGATAGAATAATAATATGTTTGGCCCTACTTTTTGCTTTTCTTTTGTTTTAGGGGAGGGGAGAAAAGTTCTTTAAATGTCACTCTCTTTTTTCCTAGAATCTTAAAAAATATTCTGTAATGCCTTCGACCTCTCCTCCTGTTTGTGCCTCTTTTTCTTTTTTCTCCTTCCTTATATTTTGGAGATCTGAGATCAGGTGGGAGGGAATGAAGAACTGTCAGGTGGATTGAAGAGAAAACCATTTCAGTTCCACTCTTTTACTGCCTTATTTTTCCTTAAGTTGGGAGACAATAAAGGAAGCTATGAGATCAGTTAAAGAATATTAACACTATATCTTGATTCAGGGTAGAGCCAACCATTCATTTTGCTTTAAATATAATAATTTTCCAGTTCTGAATACAAATTGGAGTTCTCCAAAAAAGTAATTTAAGAAAATAGATTCTATAATATGAATTTAATGAAAATAGGGGAATGATTCATTGATAAAATTATGCAGTTGTTTTACATTCTGCTATGTCCAAGATTTCTAAGACATTTGGAAATAAAATACTGCTTCTTTGGGAGCAGTAACTAGGACATATGCTTTCTTAATATTCATTTAATTAGTTTTTGTTTTAATCCATAAGCATAAATACCTAAAAGGTCTCTAGCAATGATATAATTTAAAATATTTTTGTTGAATAAACAATGTGCATCGTCACAATTCTTTAGGTTAATAGTTGACCATCATTACTTGAATAGGAAAACTCATGACTTAGTAGATAAGTCTTAGGGAATTGCCTCTGGCACATAAACATTAAGATGAAGTGACTTACTCTGGGTCACACATCAAATAAAGATAAACATAAAAGATTAAGTGATTAGCCCAGGTTCAGAGATAGGGGGTTTGAACCCAGTTGTCTGGACTCCAAGCTGAGGATTCTTTCCACTATGATTCACTGCCTCTTTTAGAACTTAGCTGACATTGTGGAAAGCGTTTTTACTGAAAGTGAATAAGATATACCTTCCAGTCATATGTTTGCCACTTAGTTGTGGTACCTTTGGGCAAGTCACTGGACTGGCTTCCCTAAGCTTTCATTTTCTTATCTGTTAAGTGAAGATAGTGCCACCCACCTATCTCATTTCACAGGGTTATTGGGAAAACAGAATATGATAGTTTGTGTGAAAATGCTTCATTAAAAAATTATGCAGAGGTAAGATTGGGCTATTATTGTTTATGAAATGTTATATAACATACATATTAAAAAAAACTGCAATATCTGCTTAGAATGTTAGAGCTTCTTTTATATGAATATGTACTTTTGTCATCTGCATATTTATTTTTTCCCCCATGTGGAATACTTCTTAGTTTCCTTAACACTTAACCCAATTATACTATGTTATGATGCTGTTAAGTTCTTTCTAGCAGCTTCTGTATACTTAATTTTAAGCTCCCCCCGAAATGATCTTTTAAACCTTCATAATATATGAAGTATCTTGAGTTTTGAATTTGTAAATTAGGATGAATCTTTTTCTTTGTTTTTTTATTCCAACTTTAGAAGCCATCAAAATGAGGTTATTTATTGGTTGTTCCTGTCATAGATAATTCTAAATTTGTTTGTTGTATCACTCTAGGAAAGCATAATCGTGAAGACAGTTCCCTTAAATAATCAAGTCTTATTATTTTTTTTTAACTCTGCAAGACATGAGCATGGACAATCTGCTATTCTCTATTAAGTTCAAAATATCCCAGACATGGAAACTGAATATTTCCCAGTCTTCCCATTTCCTTTGTAATTCAGTCATATTCATATTGAGGAACATGATTTGTACATGTAAATAAGGCAAAAAAGAGATCCCTGTTGTTAAAGCAAGAGATGAAATGGGAACCAATCATTTGTCCTTGGGTTTCCTCACATTAAATAGAATGTTCCTGGCTTAATTAGAATGTCAGATTTTAATATCTAAGTGGCAGAGGAAAATCATATTATAGATGTGAGTCATGAACTGCATAAGATTCTAATTACAGGCAGAACTGGGACTCTAGGAGGATATTATGCCTAGCTGTACACATTGATTCATGCAGTCTATTTGGTGCCCAAGTAATTGCGTGTCATAAATTAGTGTGGGTAAGAATTTGCCCTTCCCATTTTATTCTATTTAGGTTTGACTGTATTGTTTAAAATCACTGAGGGTATGTGATTTCCCCAAAGTGAGCATTATATTCATTAATTATGTTAATAGCTGAGGTTTATTTGGCACTTTAAAGTTACCTTCCAAGTTCACAAAATAAACAGAACTGAGAGTCATATCCAGGTTCTTTGATTACACATTCAGTGTTTGTTCCATTGAATTATGTACTTCTAATATTTCTTGCCACGTATTGTCAAATGTATTCTGGACTAGCATCTGGGAAAAAAAATGGTGACTTCCTCTAAGATGGCAGAATGAAAGATGTTAGAGATGTGTGTCCTAACAAATACCCCAGCAAATATGTAAAAGGCCACCAACTGGAACAAAGATCAGTAAGTTCAAAGAGAAACACCAGTGAGTTCCTCCTTACATTACAAAGACTGTATAAGATGTAGCTAGAAGCCTTCAGGCATTCTGAGCAGGAAAGCAACCAGAAAAAAAATAATACACTAGAAATGACAAAATCACCTAAGACTATACTTTAAAGAAGAGGAAATCTTGGAATACAGTATTCCAAAGGCACAATTAAGAAGACTTACAGGTAAGAATAATTTATCCTGCAAAAATGAATGTAATCTTATGGGGTTTGAGGAAGGATCTTTAATAGCATAGAGGATTTTCAAGCTTTTCTGATTAAAAAACAAGATCAGGGTAGAATCTTTCAAATTCAGCACAGGAGAGAAGACCGAAATGGTAAATGTATTCAAGTGATTAGAAGGGAGCTAAAATGGAGTATATAAATTTGATTAGGGTGAGAAAAGTTATGTCCCTTCACAGGGAGAGAATAAAAGAAAATTAACACAAGATTGGAGAGGGTGGTAGTGATTTTGTTCTCTTTTGTTTGAAAGAAAAAAGGAATATACGTGGGAAGAAATGAGAAAGACTAGAGAGCACCTTAAGAATTCTCATAATCAGGGTATGCCAGAAGAAGACTATAGTAACATGGAAAAGTTGGGGGAGTTTGAAAGTGAGCATCTTAGGAACTTTTCTCTTTATTGAACAGGCAAAAGAGGATTGAGTGCACACATACACACACACACACACACACACACACAGTGTAGTATAGAAATTAATTAATTCAATAGAGACAGAGAAAGAAAGAAGAGGGTTTAAGAGGAAGGATAGAGTTATGCAGAATAGTCACAATTCAAACTTCAACCAAGGGTGGGATGGATTAAAAGGTTAGATCAAGAGTAGAGAATGGATGATAAAGGAAATATTAAAAGGAGGGGGAAAAAGTATAAGAATCAGTGATTGGAATTTGGGTTAGATAAAGAGAGGAGTGGCAAAGGGATGAATTGGACCACTTCAGTTATAGGTAATTGATGTTGATCCTATTCTCTTTCCATTCCAGCCTTTTTT